AAAAGGTCATTTCTAAGCTCATTCTGGGGTCTAGGACCTAGAGACCTTTATCAGTCCCGCCTTCCTGACCAACTGTCGGTGACTTCTGGCTGCTGACTACAGAGAACTCTTGCCCTTTCTGAAGTCATTTCCCATGGGCTTTCAGGGGCCGGCTTGCCTGGTCCAGCTGTGGATTTAGTAAAACTTTCACCAAATCCCCGGCTCTTCCCTTCAACATGGCTGTCTAACCCAAGCAAGGTGTTATTCTTCCCTTGGAAACAGTTTTCAGAAGGTAATTTAGATACCTCTGAGGCTAAGGTGCACCCTCTTCCTCCCCCTCCTCCTCCTCCTCTTCCTCCTCCATCTCTCTTCCTCATTCTTTTTCCCTCTGTACTGTTTTTCTTTCCAAGCAAATATAGACCTCTTTCCAGGACACTAATAACCTTGGCTAACTAGAACCATTAAACCCTGGGGTATCTATCCACTTTACCCTCAATACTTTCTGCCTCTTGGGAATAACACTACTAGAAAGCAGTTTATAGCCATGTTCACACAGTGGTTAGCACATTGTGTCGTGAAGGCTGTTCCCGGTGAGGATTTAGTTCAACCACCAACATCCAAAATGGGTGAGAATGTAGCCTGAGGTTAAGCAACATATTGCCAAAGCCCCTTGACTTTTCTGCCCTGGGCGTGCTCTATGTGAGTGAAACAGGACTGATGATTACCTTGTTGTGGGTTAGGGTTTCCGCTTAGTCAGGTGGTGTAGTTGACCAATGATTCTAGGCATTGGCCTGAGGCCTGAGAGAGTCAACACACACACACAATGAGTTTCACTGAGACTCAGGGGGAAGAGAAGAGGTTTGAAGTGCTACAAGGAGGTTCCCATTCTTAGGAACAAACTAAAAACAGCACCCGAATTCCTACTGGACAGTGAACGAACCCCAAGTCGCCAGCAAGGACCATTCTTGTCCACCGAGGTTGGACTGCATTCCAGGCTGTCTTTGAGACCTCCTTGGAAGGCAACTCAGCTTTTCAAGGAGCAGAATAAAATGGAAAGATTTTGGGAAGGAATTCGGGTCTCAGTCTCAGTGAGCCCCCCTCCTTACATTTCTCCGACCCATTCTCTTTCCCAAAAGGGCTTGCTTAACGAAGCGCAAATCTGGGGTGCTACCGAAGGTCGAAGAAAGCAATGAGTTATGTCTTTCACAAGGTCAACTTCCAACCTTTTTTTTTTTTTTCTGTTGCATTTTTTCTTTTTTCTGTGGTGCTGGGGGTGGGACCCAAGGCCTTGCACACACGAGGCAAGTGCTCTAGCAAAGGAGCCACGCCTTCAGCCCTGTGTTCGAATCCCTTTGCCTCCGTCTCTTCTGGGTGTGTTCTGAATCGTCTCGGGGGCATTGTTTCTCACCTCGGTTTCCCTTCTGCCGAGTGGAAAATTTGATTTGATATTAAAACGACACAGGCCCTCTTCCACTGGCCAGCCCACCAGAGACACTTGGGCCAGACACAACATCATTGGACAACCCTTTAAAGAACTCTGTTCCTTCTCAGTTCTGCACTGTTGGGCCAATGGCATCGACACTGTGGTCACCATCCCTCTGTGACTTTTTCTTCTGTTTGGGTATTTGGGTTTTGTTGTTCATCTCTGTTCTCGATTTGTGAGTTGATTTTTTTTTTTTTTGGTGGTTGTCATTTTGCATTGTAAATACCATGATGTGAGCCTGTCCTCAGAACATGGCTTATTTAATAATTTATTATTATTTGCTATTTATTGAGTGGTATTGGGAAGGGAGGGGGACCAGCCCTCCCCCTGGATTGCTATTGGAAACCCATTCATCTCTCTGCTCTGGGTGCTGCTGTCTGTAGTGGGGAATTATCACCCAGGTAATGAATGCTGGAGTCACCAGACGAATTGGAACCAGCAGAAACAGAGGCTCCCGTCATACAAATTAAGTCCAAATGGAGCTAAAACACTGGTTATCTCCGGAAAACCTCATTTAGATGGAAATTAATTGAGGAACTCAAATGCC